GCTCCTGAGACTATCTCTTCAAATGTCCTCCTTTCCTCAAACACAAACTTGCTATCTACCTCTCCCTCTGTCTTTCTTTCCTCAAACTCAAACCCACCATATACCCTTTCCTCTGTCCTCCTTTCCCCTCTCTCTCTCTCTCTCTCTCTCTCTCTCTCTCTCTCTCTCTCTCTCTCTCTCTCTCTCTCTCTCTCTCTCTCTCTCTCTCTCTCTCTCTCTCTCTCTCTCTCTCTCTCTGCCCTCCTTCCCTCAAACACGAACCTGCTATCTACCTCTCCCTCTCTCCTCCTTTCCTCCAACACAAACCTGCCATCTAACTCTTCCTCTGTCCTCCTTTCCTCAAACACAGACCTGCTATAGGGGGCTCTCGTGGCCTAGAGGTTAAGGTGTTGGCCTCTCATTCAAAGGTCCCGGGTTCGAATCCGGGTAGCGACCGAAAAATTTTCTTCTCTAAAATTGTCTCCTTTCACCTCCTTTCCTGCTCTCTTGCAATATTCTGTCGTCTGCTTTCGTCTCCTCTTTCTGCCCCCACCCCTCTGCCCCATCCTCTGGGCTCCTGACTCTTTCTGCAGCCTTTCTACTGCTACTCCTTGACTCCTTCTTACAGCTGTCTTTCTGCCACACCCCTGATCTTCTGGTAGGAAAGATCTACACCTAGCCTTCTCGGACAAGGGCGAAAAATCTCGGAGGGCCCGTGTGCAAGTTGCGCACGTTAAAGATCCCTTGGTGGTCTAAAATCGATAAGAGTAGGCTTCGGCCGCCACCCGGGCAAAATTCAAAATTTCCTACCTAAAAAAGTATTGGGTGTGTCCCGCGCGCTCATATGACCTTATGCAGTTGCGAGCGCCGTAAAACCCTATACTAAACAAACAAACAAGACCTGCTACCTGTCCCCATGATCCCCTTTCTTCCAACACAAACCTGCCATCTACCCCTCCAGAGACTATCTCTTCAAGTGCATGGACAACTCGGAGACGGTCACAGCCGATGCCTATGGCAAGCGGCACACTGCGTCCCCCCTGAGAGACAACGACGGGAAAGCTCTGGGTGTGGTGGACATCAGCATTGGCGACATGAAGAAGCTGCCGCCGTACGAGAACAAGGAGGCCCAGAGGATGCTGCGACTGCTGCAGCAGGCTCACAGGGAGATCACCAAGGAGGCGGAGGGAGATGAGACCACACGGGTCTTAGGTAATGAAGTTTTGTTTTGTTTGTTTTTGTTTGTTTTAGTGAGAGTTGTACAGCATAGGTAGCTCATTTTGTTTGTTTTGTTTGTTTCAGTAAGAGTTTTATGGCTTGGATAACTCGTTTTGTTTGTTTTGTCTGTTTTGTTTGTTTTAGTAAATTTTATGGCCCTCATAATACAAAAAGGTCATAATATAAGTCCCAACTTTTAGAGGCGATTCGATGCCTCATTACAGTCAATTTTTCCAATTGGTTGTAAATGTTTTGCACCACCTTTGCCACAATTTAAATCTTTTAGGAGATAGGCAGATAGGAAGGAAAAGAAATCAAATGAGGTAGTGCTTGATGAAGCCCATGTGGGACGCTCCATGTTAAAAACAGTCAGGAAACGACAAATGCAGTTTTTGGGACGCCTGAATAGACATAAAGGTCTTGAACATCTAGCTCTCACTGGCAAAATTGAGGGCAAGCGAGGCAGGGGTAGGCCCAGAACAACATACTTAAGGAACCTAAACAAATGGGTAACAGGGAAAGATCAGGGAAACGTAGCTTTTTTGAGAGCATCCGAGCAAAGGAATGAATGGAAAACCATGATCGCCGACGTCTGTCGCAGATCTGGCACTGGATGATGATGAGGAGATAGGCAGCTTAATTGACCCTGCATATCAGGGCCATCCTGAGCCGAGTTGAATTAAAGAATACCTAGATCTATAGGCAGATGGACGGAAAGAAAGTCAATAGAAATGACTTCCTCCTTGCAGGAATTGAAGTTACGACTATTGTGTACAATGGCAAGGAGCCTGACCCATACACCCAGATGCCAATGCAGTTGCAGTGAAATTCTATGCTTTTGTAAAGCTTTCACAACTTGAGTAGCTTTTTTGGATTTGTTTTCAGTTATTTCTGAATTCTTAGAGACTCTCCTTTTACACGATTGTTCAAGTTCAATCCCTCCTAAGTGTAAGGTTTTGTTAGGTACGCTCATGTCACCCTGTTTTCTGTATATAACTAATATTCTACTCTTGTGCGGGACACATTGTGACTGTTACCATGCCCACTCCCCATGAGCAACAATTAATGATAATAATAATAATAATAATAATAATAATAATAATGATAATAATAAATAGCATTCGTATAGCGCATGTCCCCACCTGAAAGAAAGCTCTATGCGCTTTACACTGTATTATTACCCCAGCAGACCATAGAACAATTCTCAGCTTCCCGGGAAGCATACAGTGCAAGCAGCCGGTTAAGCGCTCAAACACTAACAAACCGATAAGATCTTTCACTGTTTATAGCTGGGTACCCGTTTCCACCAGGGTGAAGTGGGGAAAATTCGTGTTAAGTGTCTTTCCCAGGGACACAACGTCGGGCCCACGGCTCGAATCCCTGAAACGGCAACCTCACGATTATGAGTCGGGAAGCCTAACCACTAAGCCACCATTCAGGCCTACAGGGGGTCCCAAACTCAATGAAAGACATTGTGTGTAATTTCCAATGTGACATTTTAGTTTTAGTAAGAGTTTTACGGCACTTGCAACACAATAAGGTCATATAAGTGCCGAAGATTAGAGATGTTACAAGAGAGTAACAAACACAAAAAAGGAGGAGAGATTAGGACAATAGATGTTTGGTAGGAAAGAAGGAGCAAACCACACCAGAGCACCCACCAACCACCCACAATGTGACATTACCATTGTTTTCAATCAGATGCGGAGAAGGACGACGAAGGCCGAATGGACATCATGTTTGACCGTCTCATGCTGATGGAGCTCAGGGAGAATGTCTCACGTCTAGACCCACAATCCTTTGCGGAGCTGAAGAGTTACAATGAACCTCCACCAGTCATTCACGACATTCTGCGGGCCACTTTGGCTCTGTTCTACCTGGATAGAGCTGGAATGGGAGGATTTGATGACTGGAGCACAGTGAAAAATGTAAGTTCTATATGTGAGGCAGCGTGGTGGAATCAGGCTCTCGTCAAAATAATCAAAGTGAAAAAACTTGCTTTTTTTTCTGTTGGTTTGTGAATTTTTATCAAATTTTTGTTCTTTGGCAAAACACCTTTCATGTCCATTAAAGAACTCATTTTTGTGTGAATTTTTCTGAAAAATGTTGATTAAAGGCACAAAAAATGTAAATTTTCAGTTACCACGGACTATTAAGATAATTAAATAACTCATCTTTGGCGGCCATTTTCTCACTAATTTTACCTCTGAAAACAGGTGACCCCCACCTCCTTCAATTGCAAATATCTCGACTTGTATTCAAGATAAATGGATATTTTTTTCATCCCAATAAACACAAGTGAACAACCTTTAAGACTATACCAATAACTCTACATGCCCAAAAATTGTCAAGAGCCTGATTCCACCACGCTGTCTCGCCATATTTTACTTTTTGTTTTTGTTAATGATAAAACTTTTTTAATGCAAACAGTTGCGACTTAAACTTGTTTTATGCTGTAGGTAAATGGGTGTTTTAGTAGGTTTGACCAACGATGGTACAAGATAGTTCACTTGACCAAAAAAAGAGTCCACAAAAGTCCGCGCATTAGTTCAGATGGCGCTGCAGTCTTTGTTTTGAAGCTCTCTTTTGTATCTCCAGAAGAAGAATAGGAATGGCACAGTTTGTTCATTTCGCTTTTATTGTTTTTCACTCAAGTAGGGTAACTCTGTTCACAAAGTCCGCACTTTTTCGAAGAGGGCGCCACCGGATTTTTGTGGAAACTTTTTTAATTGGCTCAAAGAGAGGAGTAAACTATCTTGTTATGTACGATCTTTGGTTCGACAGCACATTACAAAATTAATTTTTATGTATGTCTGTTTTTATTTTATACATATGTAATAGGTCTTTATCATATATTTTATGGGTTGTCTTCAGTACATTATAATAATAAATAATGGATTGCATTTATATAGCGCATATCCACTTATGCAATGCTCTATGCGCTTAACATGATACATATTATGGATTTACAAATCAATTTGAAAGAAAGGTACATAGTGTTACATACTCATGCAAACACATATTCCCTCACACACGCACCACACATACATACATACACACATACACACATACTTACATATGCACATACGCACATACAAACTCACAACGATCTACAGCTTGGATGCATTCTGTCTAATCGAAATATGATGAAAATAGAAATGATTTTAGTTTCTTCTTTAAAATTTCTAGATTTTCTGCTTCTCTGATAGTTTTTGGAAGCCTATTCCAAACAAGTGGGGCAAAATATGAAAAAGAGCGTTGGCCATATCACATGTACCAGGAGCTAGACAATAAAACTGTTGGTATTTCAAGCGATCTGTGATACCAACAACAAACAGAATAATTTTACTTGAGACAAAAGTATTTAAACCCTATCCGTACGCTGTGGGGTCATTTTGTACCCCCGGGGTTGTATTCTTCACACTTTAGAATACTTCTAGTACGAATATCTCTTGAGAAACTTTCAGCATTACTCAAAAAATCATTTTGACAGACGGCTATGCAAAGTGTACGGATCGGATTAACGGGTAAATATCCTCATTGGAAAGTGGTGGCACTGAGTTCCCCACGTCGTATGGATACGATAGTAATACACAACGTACAGATAGGGTTAATCATGTTGATGTTCCAGAGAATAATCTTATTTTATTAAGACCCACTTTCAGGCCAATGGGTGAGAGGGAAAGGAGAGTAGAATACACAGCAGGATACATGCAAAGCTTATTGAAAACAAAACTGTACATGTTAAATCGAAGCTTTCTGCCTATCAAATTAAATTGTCAGGGAAAAAAGTGTATATCTTAGACAGGTGGCAGTCCTATACAGTTTCAGCATAATGTTTAAAAAAAACAACCCAAAAAGCCACATGGGGAAAATTGAAAGTGGTTGTTTGTACAGGTGATTGTCTCATACAGGTGGCCATTTAAGCAGGTTCGACTGTACATTATTTTGATTTAAAATTTTGTATGTGTTTGCGTCTATATGTCTTTATATGTATGTAAGTAAAGGGAATGTGGCGACCCGCAATGGAATGCTGGAGAAATTTTTCTGCATTCGAGTAATAATGTGTATTAGGTATTCTTTGTTTGTATATTTGTGTGTTTATGTATTATTTGTATGTCTGTGTCACAATGTGTGCCATTGTTACCAAATTTCACTTTGGGTATCAATTAAGTATGATAAATGTATATTTATTTGTATTTTTGTATATTTTTATGTGTTCTCCTCAGTACATTAACAATGACCTGATACAGCAAATCAAGTCGTACGACCCGACGGTTGCCACGGAGCTAGTTGAGACAGAGAAGGTGGAGAAATACCTGAAAGGTAGGGTACAGCCCGCGTCATGTGTTTGTGTGTGTGTGTGTGTGTGTGTGTGTGTGTGTGTGTGTGTGTGTGTGTGTGTGTGTGTGTGTGTGTGTGTGTGTGTGTGTATTTAATGTGCCTGTTTGTGCCTGTGTGTGTGTGTGTGTGTGTGTGTGTGTGTGTGTGTGTGTGTGTGTGTGTATTTAATGTGCTTTCTTGTGTGTTTATGTGTGTGTGTGTGTGTGTGTGTGTGTGTGTGTGTGTGTGTGTGAGCCTGTGTGTGTGAATGTGTGTGTATGTGTGTGTGTGTTCTCATCGTATACATGGTATATTTTTTCAATCCGTCAGTACAGTATGGCCCACACATGAACTAGAGTGTGTAGAGTTTTGTTTATGTGTACATTTGTGTGTACTGGTTTCTTTTGTATATATGGGCGTTTTCCAATACATGTGTGTACAAGTACATTGTACTTGTCTTTGTAAGTGTGTATTTGTTTGTCTACATAATTTTCCTCTGCATTGTGATCGAAAGCGATGCTCTTAAGTGATGTAAAGCTGGAGTAGGAACAAAAATGTTTCTGACATTAGATTACTATAGAGGAAACCCTGTCTGAAGAACTTCCCGTTACATTTTTGTATTTCATAATCAAACCTTTGGCTCAGTCCGTATAATGCGAGCCTTTATATCACACATGGTCTTGGTTCAAGTCCACTGAGGAGCATTTTCAAACACTCGAGTTGCATTAGGAGTTTCCAAAGCTCTATTAATAATAATAATAAATGGAATTTATATAGAGTCCAACCCCGATTAAAGTATACAGGCTCTGAGCGTTTTATAATACTATACAACAATAACATTAAAACGTTGTGTTCTGAAAATCATTCCAAATATTCATCTTATTAATTTAAAAACAGAGATGACTTCAGCTGACATTTGAATGAATCAAAAGATTTGATGTCTCTTAAAGTACTTGGCAAAGAATTCCAGATCTTGTGGCTCTGTCTGGTCAAACATGTATGGTGGTAAATTGGAGACCCGTCCTCTTCAATAACCATAGCTTGCTGAAAAGAGTGCTACACGTATGCCATGCCGTGCAGTTATTTCATTTTTCCATTCTTGTTTTAGATTTTTCTTACTTTGTAATTTTCTCCAGTACACTTAAAAGTGTTCATATGTTGATTGAGGAAGAAGAAAATGAAGAAGAAGAAGAGGAAGAGGTAGAGGAAGAGGAAGAAGAAGAAGAAGAAGAAGAAGAAGAAGAAGGAGAAGGAGAAGGAGAAGGAGAAGGAGAAGAAGAAGAAGAAGAAGAAGAAGAAGAAGAGGAGGAGGAGGAGAAGAAGCAGCAGAAGAAAAAGAAGGAGGAGGAAGAGGAGGAGGAAAAAAAATAAAGAAAAGTTGAATTTTTACCTTTCCTTCTGTCTATCTGTCTGTCTTTCTGCATAGTACCACAGCAGCTCACACGACACCCACTCTGTGACTCTGCATCCCATTGCACAAAATTCACCTGCTCTATTTTATATCTCCCACTCATCGTTATAATGGCTATTTCTCTCTCTCAAAGCCACATTCAGTAAGTTACAACATCAGTTTCGTTCAGTTCAAGTTGTTTTTTTCCACATTCTTTTTATTTACCTTTCGAGATTTATATTTTCATTGCATGTTACTTATTATATTACAGTAATATATATAAATGTTGGCGAAACAGATTCCAGCATCAAGATCTGTTGTCATATTTTGTTTTTTAAACTAAGTTTTTCTGTTGCATTTTCTGTGTTCCTAATACAGTGAAACCCTGCCTTGATAAACACACTCGTTAGGATTCATGAAAAGTCATTATAATTTTTTTTTAATGGGCATATGTTATCCATTTTGTTTATCTCATCATTTTTTTGCAGTTAATTTGTTTTCAAGTAAATAAATTACCTCAATGAGTTTGAGAACCCCAGAACTGCGATGTAAAAATCATTTTCGTGAAAAGACTGAACAAATCTCCTGCTTGGGAGAATATAACGTCTACATCGACATCGAAAAAAAAAAGAATTCGAAGCAAAATTAATCTTTCTGTCGACTTTTAAAAACAGTTTCATTTCTCTAAAATATCGATACAATGGGCCTAAAATTGTTCAGCAACTTTGTATGTTGATTCAAATTTTTTCTATATTAGTATGACCAGCAGCAGGGTTTTACTGTTGGAACTTAGCTTTTTTCGCCTTGCTTGGTATTCTATGTACAACATTATTAAATAAGTAACCTCGAAATGCATAATCTGTTGTTTTCAGCATGAACAGAATTAAAACTGTAGATTTTTATTTTTAAAAAGTTAATATCTATGCTTTCAGCATTCTTTTGAGTGTATCGGGGTATGATAAGTTAAATGAAATGTGGGTTGTTGGTGGGTGTTCTGGTGGTTTGCTCCTTCTTTCCTTCTATCAAACATCTATCGTCCTTATCTCTCCTTTTTTTTGTACAGAATATATATATTTTTACTCTGAAATAACACCTTTAATCTTTGGCACTTTTGTGTCTCATTTATACTTCCAGTACAGTCAAAGTGTCAGTTTCGCTCAAACTAAAATAATAGATGATATATGACTACCAGCTTCCTTTGTGTAGTCATCAGAATGTTTAACTTAAACTTAACAAATAGGCCTAGTTGTACGAAATAACTCATCATAGCCATAATAATTATGTATCAGAGATGCTGAATTTCCAAATTAATCTAGAAATCCGGGTAATTTCTGGAAATGTCTGGTTTCTGCCCCACTCAAGACCTATACCACCGCAAAAATAGTTTTGATACTAGCTTTCTTATACAATATTATGATTACATGGAATACATTTTGAGTTCTTATGTAAGCGTTTTCATGGGGGCCAAAACCAAAAAGTTCAGGGGGGGGGGGTCGAAATCAGTTTGCACCGCTGTATACATACATGTGACATGATTTTATTATGTATATATTTATAATATACATTTTTTTTTCAACACTGAAGAAATTAAATGGGTGCCTTTTGAGTTCAGTTGGTGTCATGCTGAAGAGTGTTATGGATAACCCTTGTTTGAATCCCTGATGAAGTTTCTATTGTAGCTTTCTGTCCACTTGGTCGAGTACTTTTGGAGTGTACTAGCAAGTGTAGTTTATGGACCTTGAGGTAGAGATTTTTAAAATTAGCCTGCCTTGAAAAAGGAAAAAAAAAAATACTCAAGAATTGAAAATTTTGTTCTGCATGTTTCAAATTAATTATTTAAACTTACAGCCACACAGAAGATCTCCTCCT